GATCCAAAGGAAAATCCAGGAAAACTGTATGTTTGAGCATAACAGAAAAAATGGAGTCTCATAATCGGTGAGGAGGAAGAGGGTAGTTCACGGAGCACGCTTTATGATGTCGATGAAAAACTATATAATAGGAGTGATTTATATTGTTTGAGACTGTCCAGTTAATTAGAAAACTACAACTACCTGTAAAAGAGGTGGATGTGCATCTGATTGCTTCAAGCAACTGTAATATAAGTTCATTGTCCGTTACACTATTCCAATCTTCATTGTGCCACTTCCACCATTTATTCGCGCAATTCTGTTGATAAACAACTTTATACAAATACACCAGAAATACGACACATTGAGAGGAGCAAGCATGTGTTCCATTCTTAGTAATTTTGTCATGAGAATCAATCGTCCATATTTGGTCCTGTGCATCAATAATAGTCTGATTCGTTTTTTGTTTAACAATGGCACCATTACATGATTCTTTATTTGCTAAAAAGAAACGATAAGTAAATCATATAATGTGTTATTGAATTTCATATTTTTTTCTCGTTCTGCAATACGAGATTATTTATTAGGCATTTAGGTTATCTAATATTCAGAATAAGACATCATAATACAGAATCACAATAGGAATGATGTGTCACTCATATTTAAATGCACCACCAAACCTTTTTATTAGATCTAGTTCTATTAAACTATGTGTCACGCCAACAAATATCGCGACTAAAACTCATTTTGTTAGCTTTAAAATTAATAGATAAAATTATGAGCTATGCAATATATTCTTTTTTTAATATATACGATTATGCATTTTTCCAGTTTTTCTGTGAGTAATTCAACAGTTCGACTCGATTCATATTCATTAGATAGCTTTTTTAAACTCTGTATTGAGCTTATACTCTTCAGTATTTTCATCATCATCGACATTTGAAACTATGTAAAAGTGATGTTGAATACTCATATTATCAACGAGATTCAAAAACACATCATTTTTCAAGAGTCAGCAAATTCCCTGAATGTAAACCCTCGGTGTTTTCAGAATTCGAAAACCGATAAAAAAAAAAGTTCTGGTCAATAGAAACGAAACAGCAAGAAAAGAACCTAAGAAGATCTGTTAGCTAAAGGATTTCAAATGGCTTCTAAGACCTTAGAAATTCTAGAACTCGGACAAAACAAAGATATTAAGGAACTTAAGAACTTTAGCAATTAAAAAATTTCAAGGAACTCTGGGAACGTAAGAAAATTTTTCATCTTCAGAATTTTAAATAACTATAGGAATCCAAGGGGTTCTAGCAATTCAAAGAATTCTGAAAATCCAAGCAACCGAAGTATTTCAAAGAACTTGAGAAACTCTAGCAGCTCTAGGATTTCAATGACACAAGGAAAACTAAGAAAGTCTAGGAACCCCAGTTTCTCAAAGAATTGCTGAAGGGTGTGTTATTAAATATTTGGTAAAGAAAAAGGTCTACACCTACATCCCCTGAAAACTTTGTAGAATCCAACATAATTGAAAACGTGGGGTCTCCTATTCGATGAAGGAAGACGTTAGTTGACAGTGATATGATCTGTGATGTTCATGGAAGTTTATGTAATATGAATAATGCATCTTATTTAACAATGTTCAGATAATTGGAATACTGCAACTACCTGGAAAAGGAGTAGACATACACCTGATTGCTTTAAGTAATTGTGATAAAAAATCATTATCCGTTACACGTTGCCATTGTTCGTTTTTCCATTTCCACCACAAGTTCTGGTAATTTTGTTGATAAATCACTTTATCTAAATAAACCAGGAATACGACACCTTCAGAGAAGCAAGCATTTTTCCCATTCTTAGTAATTTTGTCATGAGGATCAATCGTCCATATTTGGTCCTGTGCATCAATAATAGTCTGATTCGTTTTTTGTTTAACAATGGCACCATTACATGATTCTTTATTTGCTAAAGAAAAACGATAAGTAAATTGTATAATGTATTAATGAATTCCAAATATTCTCTCGCTTTATATTCTTATTATAATCTAGATTTAAAACTAGACGCAAGTGATAGCAACAACAGAAGTGATTTTTCTCAGGTTTTAAAACTTTTCAACGTCGATCTAGTCATATAAAAGATGTTTTAAAAAGCTTCTACTATCTTTAAAAATAATTCTGCTTCATAAATCATCCTACTTACAATTTTGTTCGAATTACTACTCATCATGTTATAAGTATTTGGTCTATCATACCTGCAGATTCTCCATCGTAACGCATAAACGCTATTGATTAGTAGAATTCAAAATTCTTTTTATAAGATTTAATCAAACAACTAGACTTGAGGGTGTTTGGTGTAGGTTTCATCAATCGACTTCGTATCTCGAGAATTAAAAGAAGAAGAATAAACGCAATTGAAAAGATAGCTAAACAAGTCGATAGAGTTCGTTGAAATTTACAGCTCTGCGCACTAGTGCACCCTTAATTGTCTTTAGACTCATTTCTCTAAACACTTTTGTAAAAAGATAGCAGCTGTTGTTGCGTTATAATATGATAATATCAATTACAATTAATTTATGAGAGAGATAGTCACATAACGGGAGTATTTTATTTGAATCTTTTGTTCTTTTTCGTCTATTATTTGAACAATAAAATAGGCTATTTAATGACGTTGTTTTAGGCCATTTTATCTCGTTATGAGAAAATCTTACCATAGGCATTTGCACAGAAAAAGATCCATACGATAATTATTACCATGATGTGCAGATTTGACATTTGAAACTAAAATTTCAGATGTGATCAATAGAGACAGATGATGAAATATGTTATACCATATCAATTAAGTCTTCACCGAGAGTTAGTTATTCTTATTCAATGCTTCATCATGTTTAAATGATCATGATATTTTATGCAACTTTAACTTGTATTTCTCTCAACTATTTTTATGCAAATATTGTCACGTTTTAAGTGTTCAAATAAATAGAAATAGAAAGAATATGAAGTTATTTTTATTTAGCTTCTAACATAAAAATCATGTTAGATTATTATGACCGTGTCAATAATTGAGAAATGAGAATTTTCTTTTATTATTCTCAGTCACGTAATCGGTAAGTCATTCTTTTTTTTCTACGTGTTACTAAATAAAAACTAGTCTTTTTTTTAATTTATGTGCCATAAAACAATGTAATATATTTTTCCTTGAACAAAGTGAAATGAATCACAGTACAATTTATACTACTTGATTGATCATAATGAAAAAAAAAAAAGAGAAGTGTTCGATTCTTCCAGATGCAAGGCGAATCTGCATTCGACAAAGGTGATTCCAAATGGTGAACTGTTCTCTGGCTTTTAAAGGTAGTCGATATAAGCATGCCTGATAGTTCGACGTCAATGATGACTTCATTATATTTTCTATTGAAGTCACAGCAGTAGTTGAGGCATCTCATACATTTTGCAGACTTCAGCAACTCCACAGAGTTGACATTAGAGTTACTTATTGGTGATGGTTTCAATTGTATACTGAGAGTGTAGGTGTGTATATCAGTTTGTAGATGTTGATTTAGATAAGAACAGCAACCACACCTGCATGATTCACAAAAAAAAAATTCAGTCGATATGTAGCTTATTCTATGGTCTAGTGTTTTTGATTTCGCTTATTGGTCTTTATTTAATCACAATACTTTGTCTTCAAAATACTATACTTGCATGACGGAGCAAAAAGAATTAAGTTGTGATCGAGTATTTTAGCTAGCAACTAAAAATGAACATGCAGTATATGGCCAGCAATAAAAGATTTTTCTCATTTCAGAAAAAAGAATCAGCAGTTATTTTACTTTCATATTATGAAATAAATCTTTTTTTTCTTTCTTGCTACTTGTTATTATCAATAGATCAAGATGAAAATTGATTGACGTGATTCTTTCGTAGAAGATAGATACATAATATTTTTCTCAAAACTCGAATATATTACTATTTATTTTCATGTCGGCATCAAAGCTTGTCGACACAACGAAGTAAACAGCCTGATTTATTAAATGCAAGTATCATTGAAGTTGGATCGTGGGTGTGGGTACGGGTGAAGGTGTGTGTGGGTGTGGATGTGGGATGTGGGTGTGGAGTGTGGGTGTGTGGGCGTGGGTGTGAGTGTGGGGTGTGGGTGTCGATCATTTCTTAAACAACACCCACACCCTAACAGAGTAACTAAAGAGAGACCAAAAACCAATATCTGAATTCCGCTAAGCTCTCACAGACATTTCAAAATCTCTGTCAATGAGTGACAAGAACATTTGCATGTGTGTCGTGATCTGTGAAACAAGCCAGAGGAGATGGAATCAGTTTTCTCGCCATATACTTCAACACTTGTTGATAATCATGTTGCACAAATGCACCACATAAGTGAAACAGAAGCTTTGCATAATGTTTTTAGTTATTCAGAGGTAACTATGACGAATTGATTGGTTGATTTGGCTCTTACAAGATGAGAATACTGAACGATGATTTAGTAACTGCGAGAGAATGTAATACACTGTAATATAGTTCATTACAGGACTATATGGGATCCGTTTGAACTTCAAAGTTTTTAGATCACAAGTTAACTAGCAAATACAGAACACTGAACTCCATGGGTCTAAGGACGCTCGTAAACTTTTTTATACTTCGGAATTCAAAATCTGTAGCTTGTCTAGTTCAAAGTACGAAAATGAACAATCTAATCAATGTAGATCTGGAATGTCTTGTTTTAACTCAAACTATCAAAACTTTCGCGTGGAGTTATAGTTTTTTCGCATGTCTAATACTGTCAGTAAAGGGTTCAGAAGAAGCCTAGATGTCTTGTATTCCATCAAGCGTTTTTCACTACTGCTGCTATACATTTTGAAGCTAACTACCAATTTTATTTCATAAATAAACGAAAATCGATATCGTCACTGCAAAAGTTTGAGAACAATCAGAAAAAGCAAAAAGCATAAAATGATAAAAGAAAGACAATACTTTTAGGAACATGTATCAACTACAATGAACGTCTAGGACACAATGTCAATTGTCAATGTTCGAGCCTGATAATTTACTATCGGCTTGTGGTTTCCATTGGAATTTTTCTAAGGCATCTTGTAAACGGCGTGCCATCTCAGTGACAACAGTAAGTGACGATGTATGTTGGCAATCCTGAAGAATGTTATGACAAGCTTGATCGATTGCTTCGAACTCGCCAATAATATTCTGGTTACTTTCTGGTGCCATCTTGCGACTAAAGTCAGAGATAGCTAAGCTCTTTTTTTCTGAAATACTCAAGAGCAGTTCGATCAGTTTATTATAACTAGTAGCCAAATTCTTCTTTTTAGTTTCATCTTCTGATCGAATGGTCTGAGCCACACCTAGACAAAGAGAGATGAAAAGAGCGAAGAGTCAACAAAAAAAAGCTAGTGGCGCTTACTATTGATGATTCGAGTCTAAAACCACGAGAAATAAATACAAATTACGTAGTTAGCTAATAACAGTAACTTACCAAGCGCCACAAACGAAGAGAGATAAACAATAAAGATATTTCAGCAAAAATGCTCTTTTTATATATGGTAACTATATCGACAGCAAAAGAAGCAATAACAACGATTGCATCAAGCCATTCCATTTTTCTATGATGAAAACTCCACCAATGCCGCCCGAACGCAAATAGTTTGATCAAAATTTCGATGACAAACACCACTAACAGTATTAAAGAAGAGTAGTGGAGAACTTCGATAGCCAACTCCATTCGATCATGTTCATGTTCATTGTGTGCAGCGGTTTTATTACTATGCCCTGAGTGACAAATTTTCGTGAACTTGATAAAATCAAGTACAAGTTGAGCTATTACAAGTAAACAATCGATAAGTACGAGTCCAATGATCACAATATGAAAAGTTGGTTGTTCAATAAATTGAAGTAATGCGCGTTGACATTTATAATGAACATTCCACCATTTGCTGATTACTGAACAGCATGCATTATCAAATTTGAGACAACAACCTTGGTCTTGAGTCTCCTCAGTGTGTCGCTCGAATTTTTCGATTAGAGTCAATTTTGGTTTTGGCATAAGCAAAGCGACCAATGGATCAATATAGGCTGACTCTGGTAAGTCATCTTGATATGAGTTTTGTACGGTTACGTCCATTGATTACTGTTCTTCTGGCTCTTGAACTCGGAGCAATGCACGAAAATGTATGACACCTAATTCTGAAAAAAAAAGGTAAAAGTGAGAAGAAAGATATCAATAAGAAGATTGCTTGTCTTGACACTATTATACGAGTACATATTCTGATTTTATGAGCACAGGAAATCGTAAGAACAAGCAATTCTAAAAAATACTAGTAGAAAAGTACTAGTCATCAATCACTACTATCTGATTCGAAAAGGTACAAGTCATTTCAACTCAATATGATAAAAACTAGGACGAATGAAATGAAAGTTATGTTAATCATAAGTCGTACTAGCAGGTCATGTTAGCAATTTTTCAATCGAATGAAAATCGATTCAGTATGGAGTAACCAACCCTATTCATCGTATAAGAGTATCATATTCGTCGCTGTATAGACATGTCGCCAGCACTGGGTTATGGCGTGTATCATCGTCCCATCTTTTATAGATCAATACTGTTTCGTTAATGGACTGTCTTCATAACCTCAACAACCCTATAGTAACATGCAAAAATGATATCCTTTTGTATCATATGCTTAGTCTGTGGAAATCATACAAAACATTCTCAATTGAGTATTCAATGAAAAAAAGATGGAACCTAAGCTCAACTCTCTACGATCAATGCTGCAACTGATCTATGTCGCTTTTAACGATATTTTGCCCATATGTCCTAGATCATTATTTCAAGAAAAGTGCTAAAATGGTTCGGATTAATGGAGCTTATTTCGAAAGTTATGATCGTTTTACTGAATTTTCGACTTAGCATAAGGTATTCTAATAGTTTTGGTGGAAAAAAAATGTTTCTTTGTTGAGATGTTCAATTTACAAAGAAGTCAACCTTTCAGAACCTTGCAGGTTACAAAACAAATTTTAAAAATTCGATATCTCTAAAAGGAAACTTTTAGAATGTCCAAATGATCACAAGAACTACATATGAGCAAAATCTCAGATGAAAATTGCGTTGTTCAATTTTTCTGTATGTTTTTTACTGGGTGGAAAAATTAGTAAGATAGTGATAACTTTCAAAGTAAGCATCATGCTCAAATCCTCTTAGGACGTTATTTAGAACAGTGTCCCTGACATATGAACAAAAGATCCTTGAAAACGGGATGGATCAGTTGGAGATCATTTCTCTTTAGTTCACCAGACGCTACACTTGTATGGAAACGGTGTATTTGAATGCTCAAACTCGAATGATATGAAATTCAAATATATAAACTATGTGGCAGATCCACTACACCTACAAGTGCCAAATATAAAATCTTATTAGATCGTAAAAGCGAGCTCCAACAAATTATCTTAAAGATGACTTTCCAGATGCGATTCTGGAGAGAAAATAAGAAATTTCTGTCATATGCTTCGTTGAATTGAGAATGGAACAGACCTAAGCTCAGTTGATATGAGAAACTAAGAGTACAATCGATGCACAGCAATTTTTCATTGTGATCTTCTACTTTTGCAAGAGCGAGCAACAAAAGTTCTCTCAACAAAAAAGCAATATTTTACTCGTTGAATAACGCTCCATTTTCTCTGTTCAGACCTATCTGACAGACGGCGCTATGCATTCTATTTTGACTGTAAAAATAATGCAAAAATCGGATACGAAAATTTAAGAGTATCCACAAGAACATCATCCAAGTAAGTTCACGAAATGTTCTATTTTTTGAAACGAGATTGCTAGTTCGAGAGAGTAAAAAAACTCACTCAAAAATCTAAATTTTAACAAGTTTTAAACAACTGCCAATAGCTATGACTTTTCGATCATTTTATAAAGTACTATCAGGGTTCCGAAAAGTCCATGACAATGTTTCTGAGACCACATTAGTTTTTAGTATTTTCATAAAGATTTATGCAGCGTTTTTTTATTTAAAAAACGATTATTTCCAAGAGAACCTAAGTTGTTGAATAGAAGTTTTAGAACGCCATTAGAAATAAGATCAAACAGACATGTCTTCACTTTTTCTTTTGCTGATAAGATTAAAAAATGAATAAATACTTAGTTATGAAACAGTGATTCTGAATGAATTGAATATATCACAAATATTTTCTGTAGCAAACGACTATAAGTGTCGATAATCATAATGTGAATATTATCAGTATAACTTATTATTCAACGATGTTGTAGAAACTTTCTCCGATCGATTTACATTTCTGTGTCTCTATTGTACCATCATGTCATTCGTATTCGGCAGTTATTGGCATAAATTTTCCGAATAACTTTATATTGATAGCATCTAAAATGCTTTACTCGTGCTGATGGATTATTGTACTAAACTTCGGATACTAATACGGGTATTCAATCCTCGAATAGTACTATTCTAACGATTATTACATCTTTCGATTGTTGTTTGAGTAAATTAGAATATCGATGGCTGATTGACTAGTACTAAAAGACTGAGTTTTTCAGTATCTTCAATATCTTTATATACACTATAACAATCAATAGTATATCAGACTCACACAATAGTTCGATTCTTTTTTATCCGTTTCTTTCTTGACATGGGCTTGACAGTTGAACTGGTATGAAGAAATCAATAACTTAAAATATGGGTCCCCTAGACAGATATCATTTGTCTTATATCAAACTCTCGCTAAAGGCGCCCCAAAATGAACCCTGATAGAACTAGATCTATAAGACTTGTTTGTGCTGTATCCAAACCTAGAGTGCGGATATCGGAGTCGACGAAGAAACAGCCACAGCACGTTCACATCTCTTTCACGCATCTCCTCAAACCTTCTAGTAAAATGATGAATGATTTTCGATCTCATCTCGGAACCTTCTTCTTTTAACTGGTTTTTTTATGACCTAAAACCAAGCAGTTTAAAGTTTCTCGAAAATAATCGTGCTTAAAAAAAACAAGACAATACGTACATGTTTAGAAAAATACAAAAAAAATAATGTGATCTGAACAATATTGTGATGGACTTTGCAGAATTTTGATAGTACTTTATAACTAAACGCTTTTTACCAAATCATGCATGTTTTGATGCTCAATAAAACTATATAGAATTTATCTTGGGCTCTTTACAAATGAGTTCATAATAAAAGACAGAAGAGTAAAATAAAGCATGTAGAATAGACTAAAAAAAGTTGATTTCACTTATTATAATAGTAATGACATATAGAAACTATAGGACTTTGGAAAGCAGCTTTCACTCTATCGGCAGGTAAAATTTGATAATGGTTTTTGTCAAATCTTTATAAGAAAAAAATCCATGAAGAGAAACTATGAAAAAGTGATAGTTTTTGACAGATCGATATCTTAGATCAAAATTTATAGATGATCGAAGCATATAGAAGTCATTGTATAAAACTTGTCGAAACTTGGATTTTTGAGTAAATTTTGATACTGTTTGAAACTAGCAATCTCATTTTAAACACTAGAATTTTTTCGTTAATTTGCTCTAACTAATTTGGATGATGACTTCATGGATCCTCTCGTAATGTATCACATCCTTAAACGCAAAATAGTCATGTCTTACCAGCTAATTTAGTTCTAATGATGTTACAACTTTATTTATTCTATAACTGCAGACAATACTCTTTTTAATATTCTCTGCAGCCTTCATATTCATTATTTTTACTTGTTTTCTTAATGATGGTCATGCTTGTTGACTATTTTCTTACAATCGTGCATATTTCATACTTTTGGCTCACGTAACGCATGAACAACCAATGTATTTTTCTTTTATGATAATCGATAGGAACGAAAAAAAGGCATGGTTTACGTACGAAGAAAAGTATTTTTTTTTTTATTACAGTCAATGAGAGATAAGAAAGAAACGATGGTTTACATAGGAAGCAGAAATATTTTTTTATGACGAGAACAAACAGGAAAGCAAGAAGCGATGAATTACATGGCAAGAAAAAGTTTTTTTGTTTTTTTCTTCAATTGAGGTATAGCCCGATATGCACTCAGCTGTACTCTATATGGAAGCATGCCAAGCAAGATATACAAAAATAACAATAAAAAGACAGAAAACACATGTCGCTGAGAGTTAGAATAAGCCATGCAGATGTCCACATTACTTTTAGAAAGTAGATACTTGTGTTTTTGTTTACAGCGAGTGTAACTGAAGGTCGATCGTTTTCACCGTTTCACAAATATACAGGAAAGGATCGATCTATGTCGATAAATTTGATAGTTTTAATTTGACATTGGTTATGCTCCTATTCTTCACTTTCATTTTGTCATTTTTCACTCGTTTTTTTCGTTATCTTCTTATTGGTATAGTATTATTTTTCATTCATATCTCTACTTTGATGATTTAAAGTATAGAATACTTATAATGTTGTATTCAATTTTACATCTTAAAGATACTTTCTCACATACGATAATATCTTCTCTAGAGCATAGGTACCATTGTACTCAAGATGACAAATCGTTTCAATATGTGAAAGTTATAGAATGGCTCTCCGATCGAGAACTGCCATTTGTATTCTTACCACTAATT